ATTAGTTTGCATTTTTGAATGACTAAATCATACGTGTTATTCTTTATACATAATTCATCATAACACGAATCTGTAACAATATCTGTCACAATATTATGCGATTTGCTTGTAATGTCTTTAAATTCTGAACGTGTACAATCCATATACTCAGCAAGCTCCATTAATACTTGTTTCCTACATAGAAAACAACATGGACATTAAACGCCTGTGGCATGAGTCAAAAAAAGTCTCTTTAAACGTTACCATGAATTATTCAAAATCTTTTGTGCATCTTCATGATATACTAAAACGCTTTTCAATGAATTGATATATTGTTCTTCGGCAAAATTTGCTTCTTTTAATTTCAGGATGTATTCATTGTGTATTCGATGCAACTCAGCAGTTTTCTGTTGTGTCTCTTCACTATTCTTAGAATCTAAAATTATTTCATAAGTTTAAATATATACTTGACATATGAGTAAGCATCCTTTCTTACTTTCATTTAATTTCTTAAATTTTGACGCTTGTGCTAAATACTTTGATTGGATATCTGCTAAATCACATTGAGCCTAAATTTTAAAACTATTTGATGCAACTTTTCTATGACTTTTATATTATTCTAGTGCAAATATGATGCTCAAATAAGCAGAATGGTGTGCAATAAACAGGCATTAACGAATATACCGGATAAAAGAAAATCAAGTGATGAAATCTGATCTGAATATGATCTGAAATCTCACTAACTAATCGTATTCAATACTCTGCAGATATATGTGCAAATATGTTTAAAAAACCGTTCAGCGTCGTCATTAGTGGTCATTTATCTTTGATGATACGCTCAGTGAAAATATTTAGAAGAGATCGAAAAGTTAGAAACTCTATTAATTCGAGGTAAGAGGTTAGTGTGACAAATAGGTTTGTATTTTTCTTTCACGTTATTTAAATAGGACACAACACAGTAATATGTAAAATAATAATATACACTATGTCTATATGTAAACATGCTTAACCAAATAATCTTACCCAAATAAAATTTGTAGACCTAGTGAAATGAGTTGATAAAAATAGATTAGACCAATAAAATTGACATTTTTCATCAGTATACTGACAAAAACACATTGAATTATTATTTTATTAATGTAATTACCTTCCGTCGTACGTTTTCAAATTTTTTCTTTTCATTCTCTAAAAATTTTCGTGATTCCAATTTTTGTTCACATAATTTGTCGAGATTATTTTTTGTTATTTTTTTTCTGAACTTTTCGACTCTCGAGGAAATTAATGTTGCCATTCGAGACCATTCTAAAATTAAACTATGACAAGCCTTAAATGAAGAATAAAATTAGTAAACCGATCAGAAATTACTGATATTTTTTAAACTTACAGTGCTAATTGGATTCATTTGCAGCCATTGAAGACGATCTGCATCAGCAGTCAATTTTTGGAGATTTTCTGCATAAGTTTTGTCAAAAGTCAGACGTTTCTCAAATATCTTGAGCATTTCAAGTAAATGGTTATATTCTTTTTCATGAACGTCACATAATAAC